CAGCTTCAAGTAAGTTTTCCTTGTAGCATTTGGGGAAACAAGATTATTTTTGGCCATCTGTATCGCGCGGAAATCTGCATAGACAATATCAACTACCACTGATACATGTGCAGTACTGCAGTGTTGATCAAGTTGCGGCCTACTAACGCACCACACACTCCGCAGCGTGCGTGCGGTAAATAAGATAATATCCAATAGACGTTGCCTAGGCAAAAACACACCTACAAAATTTATTTCGTGCCTACTTAAAACTTGAATATTTATACAGTAATAAATAAAAGATCAACACCATAAATGCGAGTATGGCAAGTGATATGAGTTAAGTGAACAAAAAAATCTTGGATACCCGTGGCAGAAATCTTTAGGTTTACTCTTCTCTCTGCATGTGCTGTGAATCGTTTTTTGCAAATCTTTTGCATCGAAGAACAGCATTTGTTGAGTGCCAGAGTGGAACTCGAATTCAGTCAACGCGTCCGAAATGTGATCTAGCCTCACTGCAGTCAGCGCTAACCAAAAACTTGATAAAATGTGGATCCACAGTAAATCGAATTGTGACCTTACCACTGTCTTGCCGCAGTCGCATTCTCACAAAGAAGACGATCCTCACAGAATAACGTGCACAACTGGAAGTTATTAGAAGCGTGACACGACGGCACATTGCAAAATGAAACAAATCTGACGTTTTTGCTTCGCCTCTGTCTAAAAATTATCGTATTCGACGCGCGCAAAATCACTCGCTCCTTTCCCTCATTTATAGAAAGGAGCGCACTAAGAAGTAGGGCACAATAGCGCAAACTGGGCATATTCGCATATGACATATCCGCATTTCCGGCTTGCAGGCTGCGATGCAAAACCGAAGTATGCAAGTCAGTTGACTTATTAGTGGACGAAAATGCAAAAGAGACCGCTAGGGATGCTCTGAATAAGACTCCTTGAGTGTCGGGCAGATTACAAGCAAACGGAAAAAGTGCTCTGGTTACATTGGAATCCGCTCTCTTCCCCCCCCCCTCCCCCCTCCCATCACGCCACTTTACCCAATGCAATTCCTATCCTTTCCTATTCTGGCTCATTTAACTTGAGCCCTTGATTTTTACGACAGGTGCATATGAGCGTGGGCAGACCTAGCTGATGATTGTGCATGGACTCAAAGAAGTCCACAAGCTTGCAGCTCGCTGCGTCATTTCGGAGCGCAGAGAATAATAA